ATTTAATTTGTTTGCAGCAAGAGACACTTGTGTCATATTCAAAACAATAATAATGTGCACAACGATGCAGAGAGGATTTAAAATTTTTTAACTGTTCTGTCTCAAATAACACATCCTTTTATTGTTTTTGCACACTATCTGCATTCAGAAAATAAACCCTAAAGTTAGCTCCAGCAGAAGTGAGGGATGGTTTGATTAAACCTCGTGTTGCTGCACTCTTCCTCTGGACTCAATCTGTTCATTTTGGTGCAGTTCAATAAATCAAATGTGTGATACATTCAGGAGATGTCCCTCCCATCCTCTAAGCATGGGATTTGAGCTCATCCTGACCCAAAGGGGTAGGTTTACAGGGAGGACTGACTGCACCTGATTGCCTTGGCACTGAAACAGAGGCTATTTTATAGATAGATAGAAATATAGATACCTTATACCTTTGGTAAGGTTTGGGTACATTTGGGAAAAGGAAATCAAACAGCAGGAGGATCCACTTTTCACTCCTTGTCCTGGTGGAAGAACTCTGTGGTTCTGAGCATCAGATCTGCAGCAAAGAGGTGAAACCCAGAACATCCTGAGTGGGAAGGGAGTCACAAGGATCATCAATTCCAACTCCTGGCGCTGCACAGGACACTCCAAAATCCCACCATGTGCCTGAAAGGATCATCCAAACCCTCCTGGAGCTCTGGCAGCCTTGGTGCTGTGCCCACTGCCCTGGGGAGCCTGGGCAGTGCCCAACACCCTGTGGGGGAAGAACCTTTCCCTGAGATCCAACCTGAGCCTGCCCTATTAGATGCCTGTCTATGGAATTAAGACTAGTTTGCTTGGGTTTTTTAATGTTCTTCCTGTAGATTTTGCTATTAAAGCACAGAGAATGAACACGCCTTGTGTTTATTCATAAAACTGTCAAATGATAAAGAATTCAGGGCTGAACTCTCCTCCTTTTCCCATTTCCACACCCTCATCCCTCTCCACCAGTGCACACCAACCACGTGTCTCTGCTGGAGGACAGTCACTGCTTCCATCCCCTCTTCCCATCCCTGGAGTCAGGTACAGAAAAGCAGGGGAAAAAAAAAAAAGCCACTATCTTTGTGGAATTTTCATAATAGAGCTCTACCATGACTAAGTGATCGGTTTTGACGTGCGATGCAAATCTGGAGTTAAAAATATCGTTTTCCCTCAAAGTTAATTATGAATCATTAGAAAGACTGAAATAAAATCTCCTACCACGTTCCCTTCAGCTTTTTTTTTTTTTTCCTGAGCAAACATGGAAAATATAAATCACTTCAGAGGACTGTTACAAGGTAGCAGACACTTGGTAACTTTGGGGTTTATTTAAACTGAACTACTGTCTCTAAATCATTTGTTGTTGCATCTGCAAGTACTACAACAGCTGAAAATCACCTCAGAGATATAAATACCTTCTGCTGAAGTGTATTAAAGTGAACAGGTACAGGAATAGACACACATCCATGAGTGTGATAAAAATTTGATACTTCTATTGAAAAAGCACTAATCATGCAACAAACCAAAATAGAAACAGAAATTGGAGTATTTCTTCTCACAAAGTAGCCTTTGGGAAATTTAAATTTGACTGTTTTCAATCTCGCCTTGGGTTGGAGTAGCAAATTATCAATAATGCCAAAGCTGCAGAAATTCCATTATTTATTTTAATTTCACATCTTCTAAAATCCACAAAGAGATATTTTTCTCTTCTTCTCACATTTAAATCACTCCAGAAAGAACGGGGTGTTGTTTCAACAAAACCAGAGGTTGGTTGGCTTGTTGGTGAATTTTTAAAGATAAAGCACAAGAAGGCAGAAATAGCAACATATTCTTCCCTCTCTTTTCTTAGCACTGCACCTCAACTGAGATCCCTGAGGAATCCTCCTGCCCAGCCATCCCCCCTAATGCTTGAACATTTAAGTTGAATTTTGCTGTGGATGGAGAAGAGGGAATTGGGAGGACAAAGGGAAGAGAGAAAGGGGGAGAAAAGTCAAAGGTATGGAAACTTGCAGGAAGATACCAAAGGCAGGAGAGGTAAATGGAGACGTGTCTCAGCACACAAATGTGACACCAGCGACCTGTGACATCCTCAGCCCCAAATATCAGACAGGCTGAGACTTAAGGAATTTAAAGTATTAGAGGCAGGTAAATAATTCATGAGCATATCCACAGGTACAGGAGAAAGGATAAAGTAAGAGTGGCACAGGGTCCCCCAAAGCCCAGTTGAGTCTGAGCCCTGCCCACGTGAGCACTGGCACTGCTGGGCACTGTCCCCAAAGGATTTCTGGCAGAGGGCAATGGGGTCATGGATGGGACAGCTCACACACAGCTGGAAGCTCACAGAAACAAACCCGCTGTACAAAAGAGGGATTTACAGCAAGACACCACTTCTTTCCTATATTTATGGCAAAAAAAAGCTACCACTACCTGCTTATGTTTATTTATGGCAAAAGACACCCCACTCGCCTAAATTTGCATGATAAAAAAGCAGCATTTGCATGAAATGTCTAACAAAGCACCACTTTCACAGAATAAAGTGGGCTGGAGGTGCTGGGCAAAACTGAAACACATTTTCACTCTGCTCCCTGTACCATGTCAGAGCACAGGGGCTCTGTTCCCACCCAAAATCCCCTGAGGTGGTGACTTTTGAGAGGGGAAGGTGGCACAAGGCCCCCTGCCCCACTGGGTATGGCAGGTGTGGGCACTGGCAAAGGCAGGAAGCCTCTTCACTGCTTCTCCTTCCAGCACCAGGGATGCACAGCAAGGCTTACAAAGTGCTGTTTCCAAAAATACAACCTGTACCCCCTCCAGTGATGCAATTACGAGGAGGTGTTGAGTGATCTCCCTCCCCGTGTACCTACGGCAAAGCTGCTCATTAAATATGCTCCACTAAGTGCTTGTCTCACTCCTGGGATAAAATATCATTTTAATAACCTCAGCAATAAACAGGATACCTGCAAAACCCACAGGATGGGGAGAACAGTGCAGGATGAACTGGGAAAGCAGTGCAGGATGAACTGGGAAAGCAATGCAGGATGAAGTGGAAAGCAGTGCAGGATGAAGTGGGTGCTGCACATTCCTCGGCACAAACCACCTCCTCCAAAAGGTTGGGAAAGGGAATGTCCCTGAAAGAGGGAAATGTCTGATCCTGCCAGGCATCCATGGAAAAGGCTGAAGGAAAATGACTCCTCTGGGTGTGATTAAAGCCTCTGACAGACCCAGGGAGCTGAGAGCCCTGTGTCCTGCTTCACTCCCACTGACTGAAGGATCCAAGAGGAGCTTGCATCAACTTTATCTCCTGAGATCCAAATAAAACTGTCTTTCACCCCGATTTCCCCTTTCCCTCATCCCACTGCTTTTGGGAAGCTGGGACTCCTCCCCCAGCAGCACCATTCCCTTCCCAAGAGCCCAAACCCTTCTGCACCTGCAGAGCCCCTTTGGGGAAGTTCTGGGGATGCATCACTGGGACACCTCAGATTTCATTTAATGTTCAGGTCTACTTTATATAATGTTCAGGTCTAATTTATACTTATCCCACTGGGCTCTCTTATAACCAAAAAATATTGTTCTTTTTGCTCATATAAACAATTTTTTTACCTTTCTATGGGCTTGTTTCCCCATTTTGTTTTTGCTCTACTGCAGTTCCTTTGATTTTAGCAGGAGAGTTGCAACTTAATACAAAATCGGGATCAAATCTTTCTTAATTTACATTGAAATTGAAATATTAGTAATTTTTCTTAAGAATTCTGTACTTTTGACCAGCAGAAATAATAATATTTTTTTAGCTAGTGCAGGCCTACAGACTGCACCAGTCAAACATCCCAGAGTGATACAACACAGAGGCAGCTTTGGTGAGGTTCCACAGTGAGCTGGGAGCTCACATTTGGTGAAGATGCACTTAATTTTGATTTTCAGAGAATCACAGAATGGCTTGGGTTGGAAGAGACCTTAAAGATCATCCAGTTCCAAACCCCTGCCATGGGCAGGGACACCTTCCACTAGCCCAGGTTGTCCAACCTGGCCTTGGACACTTCCAGGGATGGGGCAGCCACAGCTTCTCTGGGCAACCTGGGCCAGGACCTCCCCACCCTCTGAGTAAAGAATTTATTCCCAACATCTTATCTAAATCTCTCCTCTTGTAGTCTAAAGACAAGCTGATTTTCTTTACAGATACAGATAAGCCATTCTGGATTTCCTTAATTTCTCAGGCAGCTTCAAGCCCAACACAAGGATTAGTAAGATTGTCCTTTTCATTCCCACTGTCGGTTCACATTTAGCAATGTATAAGAAATAGTTTACCTTTATTTAAATGGAAATTACCTGCCTCAAAAAGTAGCTCCAGTGTGAGTTAAAAGCTGCTGCATCTCCAGCAAAATTAAGATAACTCCATACACATTGCTGCTGCTATTTTTTTCTTGGTATGATGGTCAAGTACACTTTTGTTTAAAATGAGAAACCCCAAACCTTAAATTCCATGTTAACCCCCGGGAATACAAGGCTGGCCTGGAACAGGAAACAGGTTTTTTTTTACAGAAATTTCATTTTATCATGTTCTAACACCTACTTGTTCTCTGGAGTAAATTACCTGCAAAGATTGTATTAAAGAACTTCTGTATTGAAGAATAATAATGGCAATTTCATAGTGATTTCACAGTATTAAGCATGCACCACACAAGAAAACCATCAGAGCAAAATCCAATTTGTTACTTTTCCCACACTGAATTTTACTTCTCTTTGGTTGGCAATTAGTGATTACAAAAGTTTAATCAAAGTCTCGGTTTCTTCTTTCTTTTTAAATGTAGCACAGTCAGAATTAGATTTAACCAATAATTAAGTAAATTGGACTTGGCTTAGTACACAGGAAATTGAGGATAATTCATAAACATTATCCATTAGCAACTTGTATATTCATACAGATTTTTTGAAAAGTGATAGTGTTGAAACAAATAATTAGAAAATAAAAGTGTTTTTCAAGTGTATTAGAACGATAAATTCTTTTACCTGCATGTAAAGAGGGCTGCACTAGGATTTTATGGGGAGTTGCTGTTCAAATAAGTGGAGATTGACCTGAAAGAGAGAAATGTAAATGGGAAAGAATTACAAAACCTCAGCATGAAAGAATGACGCAGAACCTTTTCAAAAGAAGAAAAAGCATCATGGATATTGTTAGAAGGGAGAGAGAAATACCCAAATTGACATTTTTAAGGGAAATTAAAGACAGATTTAGGCCTTGCAGACTGTGGAAGAGAGAACAGTAGCACTGAAAAGAACATTTCAAATAAAGAGGATGTAGAGAAGGCTCAGCAATTTTTGGCTGGTTGCAGCTCTAACCTTCCTTTGTAGGGGTGGAACCTGGTTCAGCAGCCACATAATGATGCTCACAAGGGCTGTTCAATCCATTGCAACCCTGTTCTGCACTCAGAGGAGTTAAAAACTGAGGTGCAACTTGGAAATATGTAAGACTTCTGCCAGAAGGGATCAGAGTTGGAAACATAGAGTCAGGAGTTCTGTCAGGAGAGAAGTTCTGCTGTTCCAGCCCAACTCATCCCCATTTCCTCTTTGTTTTCTCCTCTGTCTTCAGTATATTAGTTTTTAGCTGAAGGAGTCTGAGTTGTTGCAGTGCAACACCTTTGATTCATGTGCTAAGACAGCAAGTGCAGCAGATGACATCAAGAACTGTCTGTGGAAATGCTGATTTACTGTTGTACAGCTTTGGGCTGAAACAGATCCTGAAATAATCCATCTGTGGTGCACAAAAAACAAATCTCCAGACTAGATTTCCAAAATATCAAAGCTCAGTTTACAATATAATTAATGAACTTTCATCTTAAGAGCATGGACACATAAGATGTCTTTAAATAGAGCCAACATCCAAGTTACTGCTGTCCAAAGTCTAATAAATGATATGATGTTGTGGCTGCACTTCACCCCCTCTCCTGGATAAATACCTTGCAAGGAACTGAGGACTGATAACCAAATTCCTGTATCTGCTGCTAAAATTATGAGCTAAAATTTGGGCACTGTGTGAAGTTTTAAAAATAATAAATTTATCAGGAGGCATATTAGCTTTCATGGTTATCTATTTTAACATAACAAATAGGATTATATTGTCCATCCTCAGTGCATTAGAGTTGCAAGCCTATATTTAAGCCTTTACACATCAAACTTCAGCAGCAGTGAGACAAAAATGAATTGTGCTGTGGCCCAAAGTCACACCTCATGGTCACTTAACTGTATCACTCATTCAGTCTGAGGGCAAAATTGGTTAAGATGGCATTAGATACACAGCAAATACATAAAAAAAAATAAGTCCATCAGATTTCATTAAATTCTAATGCAGTTTGAAATGACATAAATAGGTATGTTCATAAGCACAGCACTTTAATTGACATTTGCAAGGTCAAGGACAGAAACAGAAGGAGCCCAGAATTTTAGTTTTGTGGCTTACTGCAGTCTTGATGTTGATATTCTCGGATTTTTATGACACTGACCATTCTTTCATTCCTCGTGGAAAACACTGGTAGGATTCAATGATCGGGATTACCCTGAAAAAGGAACACTCAATGAAGAAAGTTATTATGGTTTGCTTGGTCAGTTCATGGTGTGGGAGGATTCCAAGCCAAGGCAAACCCTGAAAGAGGAGAGTCCACAGGTGAGTCCATCTGCCTGACACAACGACAATAAAATGGGATGTTAAAATGTAACACTCCTTCAGCTCTAAGGTGCTCAGCACAGCAGCACCGAGAGTTTTGTTCCAGAAATACCCTCTTTGCCTTGGAATCACAAGTAGGGATTTTTATGTTTCCAGACTAAAAATAACTACTGAAATATCAGAGCTTGGAGCAGGACATCAAATCCAAATTTCACTCCGATGGTTTGAGGGCTGTTTGCCGAGGAAGTTTAACTATTGATGGGTGTAAGAACCCACACTGGTACTGACAGTGACACCAGCACATGAATATCTAATCTCATGCAATTGGAATCCATAAAAAATACGGTGATAAATCCTTTATTAGCTAACAGAGACTCATCATTTTTTAAGCCTTCTTGTACTGCTACAAAAAACCCCACAGAAGTGTTTGCTAACAATGTTTTGCACATCCAGGATCCTGTATTCACACACTCTAACAGCTGGTCACTGGAGCACAAGGTTTCTTTTGGTTTTGTGTTCGTGTTCTACAGGAAGGTGTTTCCAGTTTAATAAAACACTGTGTGTGTCCTTGAGTTCTGATTAGTTTGTGAATTTTCCAAGGTAATCTTTCCTGTCTCACAGAATCACTGAACTCTCTCCATTTTACCAGGCATTACCTTCTCTTTTCACACCATTGCTGCCTCCTCCACTGCATCACATAAACAGTGGGGAAAAAAAAAAATATCAAGGAAAAAAGTATCCTCATAAAATAAAACTGCCAAAGTATCAAAAAAACACTATCTCCTAAATGTGGATCCTCACTCAAGTGGCTTTGGGACTGCAGAATTTACGTAGCCAAAATCCGGCTCTATTACACGCATCAAAAACCAAGTTATAACCACTTGGAAAGGCTATAAAGTCTGGGGGTTTTTTGAAGTTTCAAGGTCATCAATATTGAGTCAGAGCACCACTGCAGAGCCAGGGACAGGGAACCAGCAAGTGGCAGGAGCAGCCCTGGGGACACAGAGCATGTCCCAGCAGATGTGGGAGCTCAGCCTTTGATGTCAAAGGAACTTGGGTTTGATGCATTCTATTGACCAGTTTCTTTGCTTGGCTATATTTTGGGGGGGTTGAACACCTGAATGTGGCTGAGCTGACAGGGTGTTTTGGGAGGAGGTGGGATTGTCCCACCACTCGGAATGGCAGCGTTATCACTGCTGACTCTTTCATCAGCTTTTTGCCTCAGCTTGGAGCCATTTGTCGTTCCCTCCTCACATGGAGATGGAAGCTTGGAGAGAGTGAGGAGCTTGTCAGAGCTGTGACTAATGAGCAAAGGAGTGAGAAAAGGGACTCAGAAGCTCTTTCCCTTGGCAGCTTTGCTCCAGGAGGGTGATGGCACTGGCTGTGCACTGTGCATGTGTCATGTTCTCTTCAACTCCTTTCTCTGCCATGCACAAAGGAACAAGGACAGACCTGGAGCAAGGCAAACCTGGGAGACACTCTGGGTTCTGCCTCTGCCCATTAGGCCCATTAACTGCAAGCTTCACTTGTGATTAACTTCTTTAGGCTGAAGTTACAAGTGTCTCCTATAATGAGGAAAAGAGGCCGTAAAATACAACCAAACCTGAAAAAGATTATATGGAAAGAAGTCTGGGAAGCAAAAGCAGTTATACAGCATCCAGGACTGTGAGAAGAAACTGGGAACCAGTGTAATGACTCTGAAGCAGAAGCTGGAAAGTGTGGAAAGCTGACAGGAAAGGGTCAGAGGGTTAAGCCTCTGACCATCTGCTTAAAAAAAATTAAATAAATAGAACCATAATATCTTTCCCAAAGTTCAGAAAACTCTGTAACGCACAGCAGAGATGTAGGGAATGCCAGCAACGGGATTTATCCATTACTAGACAAAAATGGCAGAAAAATTAACACTGGTAATTCACTGCATGGTAACTCACCTGTTGTTGTGCCAAAAGCCACTTGATTTATTCTGTCCATGAGATGATGAGTCACTTTCTTTTCAAAAATTAAGATGCCAAGTTATTAAATACAGGCATCATAAACGAGGAGGGCCAACACAGACTCCTTCCATAGGTTTCAAACAAGTGTTATTTATGATCAGTGACTTTCAATGTCTATTCAAGAACAAGTGAAAGAAGTGCAATGTTTTGTCTACATATACAAGAGACAAACAGAATGACAAAGTAATTATATAATTATCATTCTGACAATGATTCCAGGCCAAGTAATGGAATGACTGAGGCAGAGCTCATTAAGCACAGAACTAAGAAAAGTGTAATTAATGCCAATCAAACTCAGGTTTATAAAGATTAGATCATTGCCCAACTAATGAGGTGCCTCTTTGTAAGATTAGAGGTTGATTAATGAAAGGTGAAAACATCAGAAACATTTAGTTTGGGCCCTGGGTGGTTCATTTCAAAAAGTAAAGATAGGAATGAACATGGTAAACGACAGGATGAGCTTGATTATGTCCCAAAATTGATACCTGTGAACAGTCAGGATGGGATGGTCCAGGGTCCATGTCTGAGAGGGTCTTTGTGGGTCATCACCACACACGAGGCAGTTTAAACCCACTGTACAATCCACCAGAGGAAGAAGGAAATCCATGTGGCACATTCCTACAAAGAAGCTGGTGAGAGGCAATTTGTTAAACCACAGTAAATTGATCACTTACAATATTTGATAATATTCTTCTGCTCTCTATTCCCATCTCCCCTTCCCTACGATCCCTAGAGTTCATCTCCTACGCCTGTCCCAGTCTGAGTGATGCACCAACATGTTGATCAATCATGGCCACCTGATAAAGCCTTTCAATTTGTTCCTTTTTAAATTGTTCATCCTTCACTGTGGAACGCTGCACTTCATCCTCTCGGGTGCTAAACACTGCCTGCTATTTTTTGTCAAATGTCATTCAAGAACTTCTCTGTGATATTGTTGCCCTCCTCTTTTTACAATAGCTCCCATTTTTTCAACCACTTCCATTAGCATCCTCTCATTTTTTTCTCCAGAGGACTAGAGAAAACATCAAATAAGATCAGTTCTTAGATTGATTCTTCAGAAATTCCATATTTGAGTCTCAGAGTTCCTTGCAGTGCAAATCAAAACAAAACTTAAAAGCCTCCCAGAAACTACATGGTGAACAAGATTGAAAATGTGTTATTCAGGCCAGCTGAAAGAGATAAGTTTTTGGATACTAGTATAGAAAAATATACTTTAAAACTAGTGATATTTTAAACACAGTGACTAGAATTAATCATGATGCTTCAGTGATTATTTAAAGTTGAAAATATTCTAAGCCAGACAATACTTTCTGAATGGCATAAGTTAATTTTAAGCATAAAATTAAAGCTGTGGTTGCTGGATTAAATGACAATAATACTATTTCATGTTTTATGATCTATTTAGTGTCACAGACTCCCCCAACACACACAGACTTTTAACAAGGTGTCCACACCCATTCACCTCAGCTCTCCTACCTTTATGTTCCTCTATCTCTTTATAGGGTTATCTCCAGCTCAGAGTGAATGATTAACTTTATATTTTCCCTCTAATACTCCTTTTGATGCTGCATTAAATGCTCTAATGATGTTAATCACATGCTGCCCCACACTCTTGGCCTTTGGCACCATCCTAAGCACACACACCACCAATCCTTTCTTCTTTTTTTTTTTTTTTTGCCATAAAAGTTCTTTTGATAAATCTGAGTAGAACCTGGCAAATCATTTATAGGACTATTTTCAGGAAGGTTATGACTTCAGTTAGAGTTGAACAGGAGCAGCACCTTTGATAATTAGATCTTAGGATTTCTGCAAAACATGTAACTGTCCTGCAAAATTAGTAACATCCATAAATCAGAACCCAAAGAAGTGTGAAATTGTATGTAATGTCTCACATCCATCACCATTTTTACTATCCTTGCTGTTTCCTGACACAGAGTAATACTTTTTAAGAGTTAATGGGTTGTTCTGGACCAGAAATCCCATTAGCACAGTTATCTCTTGGATGCTGTTGGTGTCACTTCTTGGGGGGTTTCCTCATTCCCAGCTGAAGAAAGTCAATGTACCTGAATGTGGTGGCCTTGGCAGTGGTAAAGGTTGGACTGGATGATCTTAAAGGTCTTTGCCAACCTAAATCATTCAGATTCTCTCAGAGTTATCCTGTTTTTCCAAAGGAGGGTGGCACGAAATACAAAACAGAGACACAGCACAGAAAAAAATGGTTCAAATACTGAGAAGTTTGGATAAAGCAAGATTTTGGCAGCTCTACACCACATTTGCTTTTAAGATCCCAAAAACTCACACCAGACAGAACCAGGTATTGAAGCCAACTTGCAGGCAGCAGAAAGTCAATAGCCAGAAACAAAAGAGAGAGATTTATTTTATAAAGTCCTTGTGCTACTTCGCACTTATTTCCTTCTGAACTTTGAGATGGGATAGAAGAGGTCACAGATACAGGTGGGCAATCCAGTGCAGTGAGAAGCACAGGAGAAGACAGAATCCTTCTCACTTTCTCTTTATTATGAAATAAAAATGGAGCTATGAATCATCCCAGCACAGACAAATCATCCAAAGCATCTTAAAACAGCCGCTTGAGTGACTGCTGCAATATCACCTGTCAGTCAACAAAAAGAGCTGCAGGACGTGCTCACCAGCTGATAGAAATGTGCCCAAAGCCAAATGGAGTCATTAAAATAACATTATTTCAGAAGGTCCTCAGCTAAAGCATTTTCAGTGACCTCTGTGTGAGCCAGGAGGGGACGGGCAGGACAGAGGAGGGCAGGGCAGGAGGACAGAGGTGAGGGCAGGAACGACCAGGGATGCACCAGGGATGGAGCTGCACATCACACACGGCGTCTGCAGGGCTCCTGGGTCACCCATAGAACATCTCACTCACAACTTCTGCCAGGTTACAAAAAAGTTGAGGTTGGAAACAGAAAAGGAAAAGCAAAGAGTTATTATTGTCGATGCTTCCCAAACTTCCCAGCTCACAAAACCAAGGAAGAGCAGGCAGACCATGACACAACATCTCGGAATTGGGTGTTCCCCTGCCCCAGCAAACAGCACCACATGCAAAGATCTTCCCACATATGAATCCCAACCTGGAAAAAACACATATTTTCAGGAAAGTCCTGATATTCCCATGTGAACACCTTCACTTTTTTCTTCCTACAGCCAACAGCTTCATCCCTGTGAAGACTTCTGTGGAAATAAATCCAGTTTCTACCTGGGAGAATGATCTGTGGGTGAAAATAAAATATAAAAATACAATATTCTGTTTTCAGAAAGACTCCTGGGCCTGTATTTGTGTCTGAAAGTATTACATTTCGCTTGATTTCACAACTGAATTCAGATAATTCAGCTATAAATCAGCTATAAATCTTTTTGTGTAAAAGTCTTTTTGGAAGAAGGGAACTCCTTTGAGTCTAATCAAAGTTACTACATAATTTTTGTATCTTATTTCCCCATTTTTTCCCCTCTTTATCATAATAGGTTTATCCTGTAATCCCAACCTTTTTCCACAACATGTCAGAGCCTTTATTTAGAACCACAGAATTATAAAATCATTAAGTCCAACCTTTAAGACATATTTGTATATATTCATATATATTTGTATACAAATACAAGGCTTTAACAGAGAAGACACAAATATATACCATAAATTGTAAAAACTGCAATAATATCCTACAATAATTGTCATAGGAATTGTAAGAATGTTGGGAATTATTTTTTTGAAACTAAAATTCTTGAAGAAATCTTTTTATTCAAACCACAGAAACTGAAGAGAAGAACACCATGACCCCCTATTTCTCATATGTAATTTTGATCCCCCCAAACCATCCCCAGACCCCTTAAAACCTCCTCAAACCACCTCAAAACCCTCCCAAACCCACCTAAAAACTCCTTGGACCACCTCCCAAATCCCTCCAAGCCCCCCCCCCAAATCCTCAAAATTTCACCTCCAGCCCCCCCCAAACCACCTCGAAACCCCCAAATCCCCCCCAAACCAATTCAAATCCCCCCAAACCACCTCAAACCCCTCCAAACCCACCTCAAAAACCCCCCAAGTCCCCCCCAAACCAGTTCCAGACGCCTCAAATCCACCTCAAAACACCCCAAACCACCTCAAGTAACGTATGAAAAGAGCGAGAAAAACACCCAGTTTCCAAAATGAGGTCACTGACTTTTAAAAACCACGAATTTTGCTGTGGGGGTTCCACCCCACATGGCCTAACCCTAAAATCTGTGAAGGGTTTGCCATCTGTTTTCTGTTGCGTCACACAATGAGTCAAACTTCCCCAGTCTGGGGGGGGTTTCTTTTGGCAGATGATGCACAGAAGTGTGGAAAAAAAAAACCAAAAACAGCCTTTCTGAATAAAATTGTCAACAATTACTGTGACTTGTGCTCTTTTCCAGGGATAAATGATATTTATAATATATGTGTTACGTGATCCGCCGTCAAGTATTTATTAATATTTTGCTGACTAAGAAAGCTTTTGACAGAGTTATCATCTGAGCCCCAGCTGAAGGCAGCACTTCAGAACAGCCCTGAAAACTGAACACCATAAATAATTCGTAGCAAAGTGAACTTTCTAATCTCTAAAGGAGCTGCTGACGGCAGAGCTGCCCGTGTGTGGGGCTGGGAGCAAAGCACACTTGGCACCATGTCACAGGAGGTCCCAGGAGGGCACCAGGTGGTGCTGACCTGCCTGAGCACCCCTTTTCTCCACAAATCAGAGAGCAGAATAATCAAACTAAAGTATCCATGTCTCTCTTGTAAATATTTTATTTTATTTTTTAAACTTGGGATTTTTTATTTTTTTTTTTTGGAAATATGTATTTCCTTCGCGGTCCCTTCCAGGTTAGAATATCCTTTTATCAGCTCTCCTGCCCACAGTTTTCCTCCCTTTCTGAGCTCATGTGCAAGTGGTTCTACTACCACACTGACCACCCAGTTCCCAGGGGTGGTTTCATCCAGGCTGAGCAGGTACCTCCATCCCAACCTCCCCTTTTGCTTTCAGCAGCCCTCCTCAATAAAATGGTACCTTTCAGTAGCACCCAAAGGTGCCCCAACAGTCTCAGAGACCAATGAAAACAAAACAGTTCCACCCAACCTTCGAAATCATCTTCCTCATCCTGTTACACAAATCCCTTCGTGATTTACATTTTAATTGTGATTCCCTGAAATTTTCAGCCCAAACCAGGCCCTCAGCACCATCCATAGGGAATGGACTTTTGTTTATGAGGTGCCCATTTGCTTTATTCTCTCTTCTGTCCTTCAGGCCTTGTTCCTCCTCACACCCTGCTCTGGTTGTTGGAGTCTCTGTCAGTTCTGGGCAGTTTCTGGAAGTTCCAGTTATCTGGGAATACAGCCAATTTTTCCCCTTTCATTTTTCTTTATTCCTTTTGACTATTTGCCTTTGTAATAAGAAGAATTCTCAGTGTGAAGGGCAGGGTTGTTGATATGTTTTTAGCTTTGTAATTACTCTGGAAACACAAGGGTGGCTGCGTTGCCCTGAACACTTAAAGCCTTTGATGGAGACCACTTTTAACGGTTTCAACCTCCTGGAGCCACTTCTCCTCTGCAAAGAAAGAATTTATAATCTCTTGCCTATAATCAGATCAAGTGCAGAGCTGAGAAAGGCAGCCCTGATGTGTCAGCTCTGCTTGTGTCAGTCAGAACCCATTAAACTCACCTGTCATTTAGCACATGACCTAATCCAGCTCTCGTCATTCCACTTCCATCTCTGGAAAGAGCTTCCAAGTGGCACATAATGATACCCTGAGACATTGAATTTCAACCCTTATCAAGCTGCTTAACCCAATGTATCGCCCTCAGCTCTGACTGGATGTAAACGGGCACCCACTGAAACTCAGGAGAGTTAAAGTCACCCCACCTGGGACAATTCGGGCCCCCTTCGCCCCAGCACCCAGGGGGTCCGGGAGAGGTGGGCACTGGGTGGCACAGGGGGCTCCTCCACAGCCTGTGTGACACTGAGGGGCTCCTGGTCCCCAGAGGGGAGCACTGGAGGCAGACCCTGCAGGTGTCATGGGACACGTGCTGCCAGGGGCTCAGGTGGGTGAAGGCTCTCATGGAGAGACCATGGAATCATGGAATGGTTTGGGCTGGAAGGGACCTTAAAGCCCATCTCATTCCACCCCCTGCAGGGACATCTTCCACTAGCACAGGTTGCTCCAAGCCCCGTCCAACCTGGCCTTGGACACTTCCAGGGATCCAGGGGCAGCCACAGCTTCTCTGGGCAACCTGGGCCAGGGCCTCACCACCCTCCCAGGGAAGCGTTTCTTCCCAATACCCCATCCATCCCTGCCCTCTGGCAGTGGGAAGCCATTCCTTCTTGTCCTTTCTCTCTATCCCTTGTCCCAAGTCCCTCTCCAGCTCTCCTGGAGCCCCTTTAGGCCCTGGAAGGGGCTCTCAGGTCTCACCTTCTCTTCTCCAGGTGACCCCCCCAGCTCTCCCAGCCTGGCTCCAGAGCAGAGGGGCTCCAGCCCTCGGAGCATCTCCAGGGCCTCCTCTGGACTCTCTCCAACAGCTCCACGTCCTTCTAGTGCTGGAGCCCAGGGCTGGAGGCAGCTCTGCAGGGGGGGGGTCTCACCTGAGGGGGCAGAGGGGCAGAATTCCCCCCTCACCTCTGCCCTTGCTGTGAGATGAGCCCAGGGCACACTTGTCTCTCCGGGCTGCCAGTGCAGATGAGCATTCCCAAGCCAGAGGCACATCCCAGTGTGCCCTGGGTGGGAAGGGCAGGAGAGCACGAACCCTTCCCATAAACCACTGTTCACATATTGACACATTTACATCTCCCTGTTCCAGTCTAGGCCTGGGCTGCTCCACGACGGATGAGGCTCAGGAGGCTGCTGGAACCATTCAGTGAGCAAGTTGTGTCTTCATTTATACTTAAAGGGCTTAAATGCCAAGGTTCTTATGCAGATTCATTTTTTTTAAAACCCATCACCACCTCAGCAAGAAGAACCCAAAACAATTCCATCAACAGCACAAAAACTAGGCCAGATTTTAGCAGGATATATAGATATAAATGCACATCACTCCTATCCTAAGACCTGCACGGAACAGCTTGTCCCAAAACGCAGCGTTCACCAGTCAATGCCTAAATCTGGGAGCATAATTAAATGATTCCTTT